CGACTCCATCCTCCTCTACATCAGCCAGGGTGGCAAGATGACCTGAGCACAGCAGATTGTTGCACGGCTGCACCGCTATAGTGAGCCATCAATGGATGGCTCAGCAGCCGGCTGGCACCGTTTTCGCGTCGGGGACGGGACCGAAGGCTGGCGGTCAATTCGAAGGACTGAGGGATCACCGAGCAGAGAGAAGGCCACGCGGACTGGAGCTTCGTTCGCGCGGAGCTTCGTTCTGATATGTTCCACTCGTCGTGCTTTCCTTCCGGGGCTAACCGGGCAGTCGAAGCCTAAGCCGATTAGAGTCGAAGATCGAAGACAGACTCTTCTTTCTCGCTCGCTTTAAAGGACCGAGGTCTTTGGGCCCTCCAGGGTCCATCACCTACAGTGGTTTCAGAATAGATGGCACGAACCCCCAGAGTTTCTTTCTTCAATGAAAGTCCATATCAACCACCGACATTGGGGGATTGCGCCATCTAATTACTCTGAAACCACTGCACCTGGGCGTTTCGAATGCATCTGTGTGATTCTCAACCAACCTTGCTCTTGACTCTCCACATGCACAGGTGATGGTGGACGCTGACGCCGCTGTGGTGCAGGGGAGCTCAGCGACGACGCAGCTGCGGTGCGACGGCTGCGGTAGCTGGCCCAAGCCAATTGGGCGCTGTTAAACCACTGAGCAGCGTCCTTGCTCCTAGCCAGGCCAGGAGCCCCCAGTAGCTAGTCTAGTAGCTTCTTGTTCCTAGCAGTATGGCCAGGAGCCCCTAGTAGCATTCAATATTCTGAATTTGGGGCGATGGGGGGGGGGGCTTGCCCCCATGGTGGACTGAAGAAGCCGTTGGGAGCCAAATCGGTCCTTGCATGTCCTTGCAAACATCCTCGAAATCACGGTCACTGCCTCGTCTGAAGGGAAAACACTGACCAGGAGCTCCTGCAGCCCCTTTTTGCAACAACCGGGCCGTAACTGTTTGGTTCTTGCATGTAGTGTTGCATGTGTTTTGGAAATGTGCCTCAGTTCTGTAAATTGCCCTGGCGGTTAGCTGTTGGCTATAGCTCCTATCATGGTGCATGCAGCTTCCAGAGGATGAAACATGCGCAATGAATCTAGATCCAACGGTTGTCTTTTGATCTGGAGCTTGAAGGGCGTGAAATCAGCCCGCAATATGAACGTGTCATAGTTTGAGATTTGCTTGTGAACGAGATTAGTACCAAAATAAGAGATGCGAGCCGCACAAAGAGATGCGAGCGATCATCGGTGCTACGCCTGCCTCTCTCGTCCTCCCCACCGCTACGATGCCACCGCTACGATGTGAGACCTCTCTGAGGTTTTGGAGGTTGACTTTGAGCTTGGCGTCCGGGAAGCCCAGAAAACTGTGGTCTTTGGACGGGTGACCTGCGTCCAAGCAGATGGGTTTGAGCGATGAACGAGTGAAGGTATTCGAGTAAACCGTCCGAGGACGAAGCTGCGGTGGCTGAAATGAGCAAGTTGCTAGACTCATGTTTTTGTTTGACTTAAGTTATAGCACAGTTCCTGTTCAGTAAAGGGCTTTCCCAGTAGCAAGGAGCCATGACAACAATACCTGCTTGTCACCATTTGTTTGAGCGTGAGTGTTTGAACACGCACACACACACATATATACATATAAATATATATACCTAGAGCCTGATTGGCCCCTGTTTTGGAGCCAAAACATGGTCTTTTCCTATCAAAACAAAGGTCAAATGAGTTCTAGGTATATATTATATATATGGATCCCGCCAACTTGAACCGGGCCCCCCCATGAAACGGGTCCAGTTGGAACCTCAGATCAGGACTCACAGCCTCCAAGACTTCGGCTCCAGGCCTTCAGAGCCAGTCACTCAAAAGGCCATGAGCTGCGTGGAGGCCATCCGCAGGGTGCAGAGAAGGAACTTGCAAGGAACAAAGGAAGATCCTTCACTCACTTTGCTTTTGCAGGGTGCGAACCTCATGTGATCTTACTTCTAGTTTAGCCAGCTGGTTTCACACTGCCGCACTGTTTCTCCTCAGCGCTCGCCTGCGTGGAGCTCCGCGCGCGCAAAAACCGCGCGCACCTGCCAGGTGTGCTCGGGCCGGCCGGTGCTCGTGGACTGCACGCTGAAGGCGGAGAGCACGGAAGATGTGGGGGCGCCCAGGAAGGCGCCTTGTTTGGGCGGAGTGAGTGGATGACAGACGTCCGAGGTGAGAAGTGAGGAGTCAGTTCAAGGAAGAGGTAATCGTATTGAGGCCAACTCTTCGATCGAGTCGCCACTTGCCTCAGACTGTGCTTTTTGGGTGGGCTTGAAGAAATGTGAAGAAGTTGTTAGCCGGCGTTGCTGGCGTCCCGAGCTGTAGTACTGGACTGGATCGCACACTATAAAGGCAACATACCACTTGTATTTTGCTTACAATGAGAGGAGCTTCTTGCACAACTAGTGCACACGTGTATAAACCGATTAACAAGTCGATCAAGGGTATGATTGGTCCCTTGTATGTTTGATTTCCTCGTTGGAAATCACGGCCCGCAGCCTGTAGCATGTGGACATGACTTCGACAACAAGGAAATCATTCGATCAAGCCATCAATCAAGGGCCCAAAGTCTATGCTAGAAAGACAGCTTTGTGATATTCTCTTCTCAGAATATTGTATGGCAGCTATATGGTCTATATAACAGAAGTGAACGGTCCTCAATTGGCAAATCTGTTTCAACATGTGTAATTCCATTAAGTCCCTTAGGCCTTCTTACCTCACAGCAACCCAGCAGTCGCTCGGCCATGCTCGGCCATGCTGGGCGCGCTGCGAGACGTCCTGGTGCTGGGCGTGCTGGGCGCAACGGCTCAGAGCTGTCCAAGGCCCACGGAGATCTTGGCCAACTTGAGCGAAGACTACGACAGACGCATGGACCGCATGGACCGCATGGTTCTTCCATGGCGCCAGGGTGAGCCGACCACTACGTGGATGGTTGATGCAAAACATGACACCAAATCCCAAAAGGCTCAAACTCACTGGCTCGAAGCTTCAGTATGTGGCTGTTTTGGGCTGTTTTCACCAATATTTGGAGAAAACCATCTGAAGATGTCATGTGGTTTCAATTCGAGAGGTCGAACGATCATCCGAGTATTTCGGTTCGGGTCTCTTGCAGTTCAACTCCAGGAGTTTGTCTCACAGCCGCCCACTGCCCCAAGGCCTAGCGCATCCTGGGCAGCTCACGGGCCTTCCAGTCAATGTCTCGCTGGGGCTCTATGTGGCCTCCATCGTTGCGGTGAACCAGAAGGATCAGCAGTTGATTCCAGGCGAAATAGGTGAATTTATAGTGATTGCCCCTGTGGATAAATATCCTCTTCAATGTTGTTTTTCTCGGTTCCTTGAGCAAATCCAAGGATTTTGGAGGGCTACTACCGACGCCCGGTGAGAACAACCGGAGAAAGAGTGAGACCGCCCGGGATGACTTTCGGGCATGGGAGGGGAGAAGCAGAAGGACTGACCCAAGACGTGGTTTAGAACACATGGAGTACGAACGTGTCAAGGAACTATTTTGACTGGACGTCAGACCGAAAAAGAGTTCCTTTCGTGCGTGTGTGTCTTTTTGCGTGTGCGCCCGATCTGTACTTGGTGCACTTGTACCTGTAGTATGTGTTTGTCATGTTTTGCCCTTACTGTTGTGTGTGTGTGTGTGTGTGTCCCTTGCTGACTTATCCCTGAGTTTTCTTGTGTTGTGCACTTGTGTTTCTTTTTTTTGTGTGAGTTGCGCGTCAGTGTGAGAGGTCGTGGCTGCTATCTAGTCTTGAATGATTTAACGATTATTGTGCGATGATATCCCTTATGTATCACATGGCATATATGCCTACATTGACCCCTGAAACCACCCAATGTATGTCAATATGCCATACATGGAGTGTTTGGGTATGGTTTCGGGTACCAGGCTTTTTTGTTCCGTGGGGCTTTCATCAATTCTCTATTCCCACATGCAACACCTGCGTTTTTCTTGTCGGTGCTTGGTTGGGGGGGAGTTACTCAAGCTGCTTGTGGGCTGCTTCTGCTGTGGGCTGTGTGTTTTGGTGGTTTTGGGTGCTGACCAACGGCTGGCTGCTGTTGACCAGTTTACCCTCCGTTGGTTGCCTGAAGGCAGAAGGTCCACCTCTCTGAGGCTCTGCTTGGACGGATCCGAGATTGAACATCTCCCGATTCAACTGCGAGAGCCTCACAGTGCCCAGCGATGAACATGGAGATGGAGTGGTGAAAAAACGACGTGAGTGGTTCTTTTCTTTTTTTGGGGGTCGACGTCCTGTTACGTGGAACAGTCGGCAAACAAGAACATAATTTTTTTGGACTTTGAGATATCGGCCTGCAACCTAACCATCATCATCCACTGAGACCTGGTAAAATGATAGACCCAACCAATGTTATGATATATATTATATATATGTTTTGGAGTATAATATGACAGACTTAACACCTGTCAGCCAGACCGGTTTGATGCGCATAGGTCGAAACAATGTACGCCGTTATGATGCCGGCGGCGTGTATCCATCGAGTCATTGTCAAATGGTGGATCCTATACTTTTCATGAAGCACGGACTTCTGGCTTACATCTCGAACAATAGTACATGACATGCAACAAGGAGATAATCCGATGACGTGTTTCTTCAGCACGAATGGCCAAACTTGCTCGAGGTACCGACGAAGTCCGGGTCATTTCCATTCTGGCAGCCGGACCTTTACTTCGACAACTCAGTTTCCTGGAAGCCAAAACAGACAAGAAAGTGACCCCACCTCAATTCCAGACTTTGATGTCTTCACTCTATAGTTGCCTGGACACTGTAGGAGACAGTTGATCTTCTTGCTTGTTGCAAATCTCTGGGCTGTGAAGACACTTCTTTGGGGATATGCCGCGTATGCCTCAACCCAGATCGCAACGTAACAATGGACCTGCACAGTATTTGCAGTTAAACAAATCGCTTCATTTGCCTTGAGAGCTTCGCCGGGTAGGAGGCCTCGAACTCGTGGCATTTTCAGGGTGCCTTGAGCCGCCATTTTCTTGTGAGCCCGCTGCAAAGAACAACCTGATATAGCAAATGAACATAAATAAGCCCCAATGATTTGTGTATTTTGATGTTTGCCACTTGTGAACAACATGTTAGCATATTCATTTACAGCCGGCACTTTTGTGTTTGATTGTGCATGTGCTCCGCCAGCGGAACCAAAGGGCATTGGGCATTCTAAGAATCGAATCGCAGAACCAAAGGCCGATGTCCTCTTGGACGGCTGTCCTATTTCGTGCTCCGGTCGTACCGCTTGCACGAACTGGGCGGAAAACCCCTTGCACGGTCGATTTGGCTCCCGGTATTCCTCCCGTGGGCAAGGTGAGTGAATGGTATGGCGCAGGCGGCCTGACCATTGATTCCAAAGGCTATGTTTTCAGATCAGAGCCTCATCGGATGGAGGGCTTAGACGTGAAAGGCGCGGCATGGGCTGGGTGATATGTTGGTACTAGTAGCTTCCTGTTTCTAGTGGTAATGCCAGGAGCTACTAGAAGCTTCTTGCTACCAGTAGCGATGCCCTGTGTTCCTAGTAGCTTCTTGCTACTAGTAGAAATGCCAAAATTGGAGATGGCTGTTTTCAGGCATCATCCGCCTTGCGTAGCTCTAGTGTCTCTAGTGCTTGGAAGTCCGAGCCTTTACCTTGTGAGCTTTTCTGTAGGATCCCTTGCAGCGGTTGCTTAGCTCTTTCAACAGAAGTGGCCCCAAACCATCCGAAATTAGCCAGAGTTTGGAGAAAAAATCATTTGCAACTCCTCATCCGCGGCTGTACTGAGGAACGTTTCAAACATGTCTTCCGCTGCCCCATGAACTTTGACATGTTGCCATTCGATTCGCAGACCTGTGTGGTGAGGAACACGGGGAAGGGGCCGGAAGGGGCGGATGGGGTGGATTTCTGGGCTCTCTTTTGCTCCAAGAGCTAGGGATCCAGTCGTACGCACCTGGACCCGACAATGGCACCCCGGGCCCCCAGTCCCACCGAACCTGAGAAGGTACGACTGGATCCCTAGGGTTAAAGACAACTGAGTTCAACGGAACAGATACTGGAAGGTGATCCGTTCATCAAGCCCCCCTTGAAAAAGGGGCCAATTTGGTTTCAGGGACTCACTCACACCTGAGTTGTGTTCCTTTTTAACGGATCAAACTATTTGGCCACAAGACGCCGGTCGTAATGGTTTGGTCCCCCGGTCGTCGTCGGACCACTATGACTCAAGATCCGCGGCGATGCCCCAGATTTTGCGTTGCAAGGTATGCATGAAAGGCTCTCCCCAAAGTCGGAACCCTTCAACTGTTGTCAGGTTTGATCAAACCATGCTACCAAGCAGGTCTGAGTTAATTACTCCCTTCCCAGCTACCTTTGTTGAACAAAGCTGGAAGTGGAGTATGCCTCTCTCAAACATACCTTTTGTTCATTGTGAGACCCTGACAAGTTCATAAGTTCACAATAATGTTGTAATTACATACATTGTAATATAGCACCATCCCGAAGTGGTGGGTGATGCCGTTCTATTCCGATTCTTAAGAATATTTATATAATTCTTAAGAAGTGGTCCCTTGTGTGTTTGTGCACTGACAATTTTCATTCGCCTTTTCTGAGGTCGCGTTACCCTAAGGATCCAGCAGCCAGCATTGCCTATAGTCACAGTCAGGAATTGCTCAGCCCCAGTCAGCATAGTAGGTGGTAGTAGTAGCAGCAGTAGTAGTAGTAGTTGATGCTGATCCACGGTCACCTGAACGACATCCCAAAAGCTCAAGTCGATTCTCACGTCCTTCCACGTCCTCGTTCCACGTCCTTCCATCCGGAGGATGTCCTCCTATGCTTACAGCAGCGCAGACCTGGCGCTCCGCGTCTTCGCCGAAGGGGCTGTGGAGCTGCCACCCGACTACTGGGGCACGACTGAGTTCAAGCTCACGGCCGCAGCGGGCGAGGTGGGAGAGTTCGATCAGTTGGAGGTTGGGTGGTGAGGTTTTGGTTGGTGAAGCCGGTGTGTTTCCAGGTCGTTGTGATTCGTTTCCACGGTTTTGCTCGAGCTGGATCGATTCGCCGATGAAGACAGTGGAGCACTTGCGCTGTTGAAGCCTTGGAAGTCCAGGTGCAGGTTCTACGTTGGTTCTTGGGGATGTTAGGCCACGGTGGACGGTGGAGTTCGATTTGAATGTCTGCCGCTTTGTTGGTTGACCAGGCAGTTGAGGACAGAGTGGGCTTTGTTTCAGATCATCTAGGCATTTCCTAGCTGAAAGCGCCCATCTACACATGTACTGCGCCATGTACTGCGCACATGATGTTGAAGCTTTCTACCACCTGGACCCTGGACCTGACATGGGAGAGAAAACATTATAAATATACATGGAAAGGCATACGTCTCAGCTGCTTGGACCAATCAACCATCGCTCTTCTACCTTCTAGGTGGAGACGCTCTTCTACGGCGTGGGCGAAAACCAGAGGGGTTACAGCTTCGTGTTGATCAGCTTCCATTTGCATAGGACCCGTTCTTCGACCCGGTCCAAGGCGGTGATACGACCAGGGACGGGACCGAGACTAGAGGTTGTGCTTCAAGACGAGCGATAGCTAATTATAGGGGGTTCTTAGTTCTCAATGACTGGGTGCCTGTATTCCGCTTCTTTTTTGTGATCCTTCTGATTTGAAAGAGCACCCGCCCTGGTGCGGGGTTTGAGCAGGGGGTTGGATTGATGCCTGACCTTTCAGATGTGCCATTTGCCTGCATGGTATTTCAACGGAGATGTAGCCAGACATGGAGAGACGGTTGCCTCAGCACCTGGCGTTACACATATCTCATATCTCCAACGATCTCCATATGGTTTCCCCCCAACTTTACAAAAGGCACCTGGTGGTTTCCAGGGGTTTCCAGGATGCCTGACTCCTTCATGATGTTTGTCTTCGTGACCTGCATCCTCTTCACCTTTGTCTCATGGAGTGGCCTCTTCATCAACCGCGCCGTGGCGCCCGCGCGCGTGACCATCGCCGTGATCCCTGCGGCTCGGATCAGAGATCGTCTACGGCGGCCGGTCTAGGACACCAGCCTGGCCCTGGCACTTGAGAGTTATAGCCGTTATGGCCTTATGGATCCACATTTACCTTCTCAGGTACGGTAATTGGAGACTATTTATGTAGGTATGTGGATCCATAGGGTAGAAGCTTTTGGCCTGGAACATCCTGGAACTTGAACATTGGAAGGTTCAACGAACTGATTAGAGCGGCTTTTGGCCAACAAAGGGCCGGATTTCCTGCGATACGGAGTTCCTGCGGACACGGGGGGTCTTCGTGAGGTCCTTGTACTTCAGGTCAAGGTAGTCCTTTGAAGTGACCTGGTGTAACTGGATAGCTTGCAGAAACAGAAGTGCAGCTCCAAGTGGACTCGGAACGTGTCTAAGAACCCAAATCCATTCACTTCCTGGATTTCATCACCCTGGTTTTTGTGGACCAGGTGATGTTTCATTTTCCAATTTCCCGAACTGGTTCTAGAAATCCTCAAACCTGGGGAAGAGGTTTTCTTTCCGGCTTCCCAGTTTGCGGCCACTCCATGTTACCAAGGCCCATCCGGATGGCCGAACCCGGTGGCTGGGTTGGTCGTGTTGCCTTTCCCGGTCGTCCGACCAACAAGGTTCTCATCATGCTGAACCTGGAGAACAACGTGATCTCCAACTTGCCACCTTTGAGCCATGGCATGCCGGGCCTGGTGAAAGAAGCATTTTTGGGCAGTTTTCGTCAGAGTCAGGATCCGAGTCAAGAAAGTCAAGCACCATCCATACATCTTAAAAGTTCCTCAGATATTTGGCAGCATCATGTCTAACCTAGGAGTTTCAAGTTTTATGTGACAGCTGTCCCACGGGACTTAAACTCGTTTCTCGCAGTGTACTGGCATTGGCCGACGCCTTACAAACGGAAGAGAACTGCCGACCGGAGGCAAAATGGAATCCAACAGTGTTGTTTGTTTATAGTTTAACTCACACCTTGTGTTTCATCCATCGTCTATCATCTTTGGAATATGCAATAGATGCAATAGGAGACCCTAGGGGGGAGTGGTTGGGGGGATGAGTGGCAAGACTCAGCTCCCCGATTGCTTTGGGACGCGATTGCGCCGTGAGAACGACCACGAACAGCCACGCCCGCAATACGGGACACTGACTGGCTATGGGCGGCTCAGAATTCATAAGACTCACCTGCGGTGAAAAATCACCATAAATCATGCAAAGCTGATACTCAGATGGATCTTGAGGTGTTGCTGCACATCCCAAAGAATGACCAGCCCATCCCTGCTGAGGAATTACCTCACCTGGATCACTAGCTATTTACTCCTCATGAAGTTCTTTTGCGTCTCAGCGGTCTTCGAGTATGGCCTTGTGCCTTGGGCGTCTTCACTGTTGTTGGTTGCTGGTGGCAAAAGCCCAGGACGTTCCGAAAGTACTGTTTGTTTGCTAAAAGCTCCAAGATATCTTGATCAGCTTCTGAAGACACGACAAAGTGCACACAAAATGCCTGGAGAGGCTGGTGGATTGGAGGGGTTGGGGGTTCCCCGCTCACTTAAGTTTGACTTAGTCTAGGTCTAGAAGCCGCTGCAGTTGCAAGTCCCGTTTTGCTAAACACTCCATATATGCCATATTTGCTTACATTGGGGTGGTTGGGGAGGTCAATGTAGGCTCATAGTCATATGGCACTCCCATGGAGTGTTTGGGATATCATCGCACAATTGATGAATAATGGTTAGATTAGATCATGTTAGATCATTCAAGACAAACATCATTTGCCAGATAGTCACGTTTGGAGTTGCTCAGGTGAGCTTCCTCATTCAGCTCGAGACCGCTCGTGAGCGGCAGTTCGAGGCCTTTCGGCACTTAGCGACCACTGTGAAGAAGAAGGCGGCAGAGGACGAGGTGCGGTTTCGAGCTGCTGCTGCTGCTGCTGCTGCTGGTCTTTGGTTTCACCATGAGAGGCAAACAGGAGAGAAGCCCCAAGTGTGCAATCATATTCATTCCAAGGCATTCGATGGACTGCAGGTAGTTTTGGAGTTCATGAGTGTTGGTCTGTTTCTTTGGTTTGGATTTCCACCTTTTGCCGGTTTGTTTGATTCATGCACTTCGAAGTGCGCAGTGCTCACACTCAGCCCTGGGAGTCACATATGGAGTTGCCTGTCACATCCACTCAGTTAGTTATTAGGGCCTTCTAAACCACCCAACTGCATGTGACTCCTAGTTTTCATCCATCTTTACTCCCTTGCAGAGTCCTTTTTTCATCCTCCCGAGGCCAGCATCAGCTGTGAACGCCCAAGGCCGCCGAGTTGGACCTCGCCCAAAGTCTATCCCAGCGCTGGAAGTGCCGGAAGTACGAGCGCGCGGAAATTACTGCAAGTGGCGCCAGGGGTCGCACAGAAAGAGAAGGAGGCGCGAGGAGTTGGATGATTCGCTGGGATGTGTGTAGTGCTAGAGTCATAAATACACGACCGAACATATCTAACAAGAGGTACCATGTTTACCCCCTTCTACCTTAAGGAGATGGTATGAGATGGTAGTGGTATTGGAGTCAATAATTTGTTTTCTATTTGGCATTGCTTTGTTTGTCTAACTTGTCGCCAAATCGGCTCTTGGAGCATGTGGGGCATTTTCACAATGTCCCGCTCAGTGCAAAGACAGAGGTCAGGGCCGTGGCTTGCCCTTTCGTTGGTTGGATGCTTGATCATTGCTGCGCCTGCATTCTGTTCGCCAAGTCGGTCTGCTAGAGTGACCCATGCCGTGCCAGACTCCGTGAGAGGCAGTCGGCCTCTCATGACTTCTCAGGGTACCCAAACAACAAAGACCCTGCCTCAGAGCAACACAGAACCCAATTTGTTCTGTTGCTTGTCTACGGCTGCCGCATGTGCCCTCATGGCTTCCATGGCCAGAAAGGGACGAGCCGAAAAGGTGGTCGTTCGCATTTTCCCCACCAGATGCATGAGCCGGCAAAAGACCATGCGGCGCTTGGAGCCGTTTGGAGAAATGCCTGCTTGGTCCCGAAAGCCTTTGCTTAGGAAGAGGCTGAAGCAACCATGGCGAAAGCGGCCGACCAGAAGGTTGTCGGCATTTGGTCGACATTTGTATGAAAGGTCACGATTGAGATGCCACTACAACATCAATGTCCGGCAGCTCACCAAGTATGTCCTACGTGCTTTTAAGGAGGGCCGCAAGCACCCCATTGATCATCTAATGGCAATTCTGGAGAGCCGCGTCGACAACTTTTGCTGGCGCGTTGGGATTGCACCAACTATGGCAGGAGCGCGATTCTTTGTGCGGGAAAATCACATCCAAGTCAAGTCGCAAAGGAAGGAATATGACTACAAAGAGCCAGAGTGGGTCACTGTGAATACACCCTCGCATCTCCTGAAGATTGGCGATCAGATTCGGGTCCGTCCGAAGCCAAGGTCGCAGAAGCTTGCCAAGAGGTATCAGGATGAAGATGGGCCAGTAGATGTGCCGGATCATCTTGAGTGGGATCGTGAGGAACTCGTTGGACGCTACAATGACCTATGCGATGCTAACCAAGTTGGGATCAATATCAACGAGGATTACTTGATGAACAAGTTCTTAGGGCCTCAGGGTGTGCGGCAACGACACATTCGCTGGTTTGAAGGAACAACAATTCCCATTGAAAAGATTTACAACGGAGGTCGCATCGTGCCAACTCCAGAGAACATCCTCAATATGAAGAAGGGGGCTGGCCTCCGTGCAAGGGGCTTCCGACGCCCACCATGCTTGTGGGGTCGCAGAAACAATCCGCTCAACAATCCTTGGGAGTACGGCAGCAAGGTGAAGGTCTGAGAGGCTGAGATAGGCTCAGACGCTTGAGTGCCACTGAAGCAAAAGCCTCGTGGTTCATTTGATTCCCCGCAACCAGACGGTGCGTTGCGATGTTTTTGGTATCAGCTTTAGGGGGTCAGGGGGCTGAAGTGGCCGGTTCCCTGGTTCTTGGGGCTGAATTGGACCAAGTGACTGGACTGCTTTGACTGCTGATATTGGTGATTTTGGAGAATTTGGCCAGAGATATGCTGTGTGGGGCCCTTGTTAAATGGGCACGCCAATTGTTTTGCTGATTTTGTGTCAGATAGAACTGCTCGCAAACATGAGGACAAAGAGCCTGCAGAAGAGAAGGAGAAGAAGGAAGATGAGACTCGGCCCTTTGTGTAAGTAGTGATGGTCACCCTCGATCCTCAAATATGTTTTCTGTTGTTAAGAAGTTTTCGAACATCGCTCCCCTCACAGCATCGTCGGCAACACCGAAACAGATGAGTCAGGTGTGTTTGGATGCCTTTGGCTTAGATGGCAGCTCATCAGCTTGCACCTTTTCATGCCTTGTCCCGCCGAGGATACTGAAGAACTGAACTTGCAGAAGAAGTTTAACAAGGTGGGAGCTAGCCTGGCCACAAGACCTCCCAGTCCAGATCACCTGTTAGATACTGTAACTCATGAGTCCGACCTCAAGTGAGCGCTCAAGTGTTTGCCAAGTTGGCTGAGTCCGACCCAAACTCCCACTTGGCTCTGTGGGCTTGAGAAACAACAGCAACAACCACAACAACCGAAGGAGGTGAAACCCTGTCTGGTGCTGCCACCGACCACCATGCGTGCTTTTCCCCAACCGAATCTGCCGGTGTCTGCTCTACCTGCCCAGGTCTACCGTCTCTTTGATGCAGACGATTCTGGGGAACTCAGCTGGCGTGAGGTGCAGATGGGCTTTCGGAAGTTGGGACAGAGGCTCGGCAAAACCTTCAGCGCCACCGTTGCCCACGCTGGGGGGGAAAAATATTAGCGCGAGCTCCGCCGAGCTATGCAGAGCTTCCTCTGGCATAGGTGTAGGAGTGGAGTGGGAGGAGAATCTCAGGCAAGGTGCGCCCCGGAGCGGTTGGCGCGAACCCATTTTCCTGGTTTTGCTTATTAGTTGATGATGTGTTTTATCTTCCCGTTCGGTGAATCATGGTGAATCCTCAAGCCCGGGGAATCTTTGTGTTTTTTTTTTCTGGTTCCTTGAGCACATGCAAGTTCTTGGAACCAGTGCCATGGTCACAAATAAGTGGGCGAACCTACAGGGAAAACAAGGGCGACAGTGAGAACATCGGCGGCAATAGGGCGACCTGGGGTCCGGGGTTGAGAGATGTTTGTACCCCAGTACTGTGCACTCGTTCTGAACTAGACTAGGTTTGCAACATGTTCCGAAGTGGTGTGACACTCCAAGCCCAAAGGGCCCTGGAAGACCCTAGTTTCACCTCAAAACCGTTTGGCTGCAGCTCCTCCGTTGGCCGCTCTCATGCAAGCTCGTCCCCAGGTATTGGTCCAAGGACCAGGCGACGGGTGTAGTAGGGCGGATGGATTGCAAAGGGAAGCCTCCGGAAGAAGAAGACAAACTAAACATGTTTCTTCCAATCAATCCGACGGATGGGTCGAACTTCGGGGTCCAATGTAGGCAAGTGTTATAACATGTTATAACTTGATGGGAGTGTTTGGGAAAATGCATTCTACAAGCGATGCTTATAGTTCGGAGTTTTGGTGGCGGGTCCTGTCGGTCGCATGCTTCCATCCCTTTCCACATGTCTGTCCGGGTCATATGATGCATGAGAGTGGTGAGGACCATGAGATTGGCATATTTTGGATATATCGACCTCTGGGTCATCACCCCGATGAAGAAAACAAGACCGGCCTAGACCGAGGGGATTGGTCGTTCTTCCCTTCATCGCTTCGAATACTCAAACTGAGAATGCCCGGCAATGCACAAGAAACGAAGTTCGGTTTACAGTGCGGTAGAAGAATGACCTGCCAACATGGTCGAACACGGTTTTGCACTTTGCTCCAGGCAGCCAGGCTCCTGGAGCGATTCATCGTTTGCAGCTAGAAACAAGAAGCTACTAGTAGGAAGAAGCTAGTAGCTTGGATGCCATGTAAGTCACTAGTAACAAGAATTCTCAGCTACACAGGAACAAGGCATTTCCTCAACCGCCCAACTCGTCACAGGTCCAAGAGTTGTTCTTCAGCCTGGGCATTGTGGGTCACCAGCGGATGACGCAGGCGGATTTCAAGCGCTTCATGATGGACATCCAGAGTCCTGCCAGGAAGTGGGGGAAGAATCAGATGGCCAAGTCATGAAGCATCGCGAAGTGACTCATGAAGGTGTTTTCAAGACACATGCTTGCTTATAAGCTTGCTTAGCACCTGCACATCGGAAGCAGTGTAGGAGAAGACGTGGCCATTCTCCACTCCAATACCGAGCTTTCGGGCCAGTGAGACTGTCAGACTGGATTCTTTCACTTTGCGCCAAACCTGCGCCAGCAACCGCCTTACAAAGTGGTTGGGTTTCTATACCAGCTTCGACTTGAAGATCTGGACCTTTAGGATAAACCCCGAGGGATCGGCCTTCGATCTGGTAGTGGATCTGGCCTTCATGTTCTTCCCACCCTCACAGAACTCGAGCCTTCTCCACCCTTCGACGCAGGTGTCCTGTTGCACCCGGATTCTTGGGGTAGAAGGCATTTTCCGCACTCCGGTCATGGGACTAAAAGTTTCTTGCCTACATTGATCCCTTTTCAACCAATCCCATTCACAGTTCGGCGTTTTGTTTCACCGTTCTTGGAGGAAAGAGAGAGAGAGAGATAGAGAGGGGGGGAGAGAGAGCCACAAAATCATCGAAGACGAACCAAAAACGGTCCTCATCGCCTTAAGCCGCCCTCGCGTCTGCGGTCGCACGAACCGACGGAACCGATCCCGAGGAAGTTTTTGCCGGGGAAGGCGATGAACATCAGTTTCTTTGAACGGACGCTGGGATCTATTCAGAGTTTTTCTTGGACATGCGTGTTGAACTTCTTTGCGGACATTTCCAATGATGGTGTTTTGTTCATGATGCTTCTGGGATTGATTCCACACTCGTCCTCTTATACAGATCTCCTTTCTTTCAGATGCCAGAGCACCAGGACTTCGAAGCACATTTCTGTGAAACGGGTGTCAACAAGCTGCCTGACACGGACCAAATCCAGTGAAATCGTGTCAGACCTTGGTTCGCTCCAAGCACAGGTCGATCCACGACTCGCGTTGGCAGAACGCTAGGCCACCCAGCTACCAAGTAGACGTTGTCTTCAGATGGTTGTACATCACAGGACCGGATCCCGAACGATCCGCGGGTCACCGCGGTTGGCGGCGCGTTTGGCGGATCTTCGCGCGGGGGGAGATTAAGTTCAGATATGTTCAGGTAGCCTCAGCCAGCACTTTACATAGAAGATCATGGAATCTGATAGAAGTTGTATATTGTGTTTTTATATGTGTATAGTATAGTATAGTATGACAGTATGACTTGTTTGACAATGAAGTGTTGAGTTGCCAGGGAGTTAGAAGAGAGAAATGGGAGAGAGTTCACCATGCATTCACCCACGCAGCTGAGATGTTCCCCCTCCTCCTGTATGTTTTGCATTGTGTTGTTTTGCATCACTTGTTTGCAGAGTTGCAGAAATGAAAGGTAGGAAGAAAAAGGCAGACTATATAGATGAAATATATAGTTTGTATTATGTTTCATATAATACGAAAAATACTAAAAATATAACTATACTTATCAATATATTGATAATGATTGATATATTGTTTCATTCAAACTGTTCCGCCTTTTGTTGCTTTTAATTTTGCGTCCCCCTTGCCCTCTCCGTGGCGAGGATGAGCAAATGAGCAAACATGAGCCGCATTATAGCATGTTCATTCAGTAGGGTTGAATTGGTTGGTAGGACGGCTTCGACGCCGTTTTCTGTGTGGATTTACTGTCCACTTCAGGGCAGGTGGTGTGCATCACCACCTCCCACACAAATCTGGTTTTGGCACCTTGCTTCTTAGTTTTTGTTTGGTACCGCACAACAAGTAGAGTGTTGTCCTTCACCTGCGTAGATGACGTAGATGAACATATGCCAGCAATCTATTCTGCCCAAACTATGTGTTCACATGTGTTCACCGCTGGTGTTTTCTCTATGTAGGATAAACATGGAATCCTAACTTGCAAACAAGGAAGAGAAGGTCATGAATCGTGGAATCTGACCTGTGTGGATCATATTCAAATTATATTGAAGAGCAGGCTCTGGCTCTAAATTCACCGCACCCCGCGCACACTCGGCCGAGCCGGAGCGTCGATGTCCGGTCGACATGGGTGAGGCGTGGTCTTGGTCACCGCTGGATGGCTCCTCTCGACTATGGGCACCTAGCGATGTAGGTGCGCCTGGGTGATGCCGCCTTTCCTGATGATTGGTGATCATCCAGAGGGTCCAAGGTCGCACCACGCCGTCGCTAAAGTGACCGGGTCACGCAAACTCCGATCGACGTTCCGCTGCGACCGAACCGGGTCGAAGCGGTTCAGACGGTGGGGGCTCCCGACGAGGGACCGGGAGGAACAACTGTAGGACCGGTGCGAACCCACCGGCGGGTCCATAGCGCTTCCTGGAGTAGGTGCGGAGTAGGAGACCTGTAGTGTGGAGATATCCAGCGTGACCCTGAATGGAAGCAGCTGGTATATTCCATCGATCCAATGTTGGAGTCCACCCAGACGCTCCAAACAGCTCCTGGTCCCTCAAAACCCTAGGGGTTTGAGGGTCTGGCTCCCACTCTTGAGGGTCCGGCCCCTACTTGGGAGGGTCCATGAGCGTTTGGGCAGTACAACATATCCCAGTCACGACCTGTCTGGGACTGGCATATGAATCCATACATTGGGGTGGTTGAATTCAGGGTCAATGTATATACTGTATAGGCATGGTATACCAGTCCCCTGGAGATTCTGGGAATGCTTGAACAGGACTTGTGTTTCCATGTGTCGCATTGACTTGGCATGTCGAAATCCATGCTGCTCCGTGTCACATTGCTGCGTCACGGCGTCCCCTTAAAGTATCTTGAGGGCTCCAGTCGTGCCTCCCAGAAGGTATGACTGGACCCTCCTGGCACCCACCCCAGTCCCACCTAAGGTGCTTGGAGCCCTATAGTAAATGTGCAACGTGTCATGGCGTCCGTGTCATGTTTCATGCGCCCGGTAGTTGGACACCAACACCGAAATGAGCTGTTTGGGAACATGCAGAGATGATGCAGGCCGATGTAACCATATGTGTCACTCGGCATCTTTGGTCGTTCCCAAGTTCGGGATGGGACGATTAGGTTTCCAGTGTCTTCGATGTTTCTGTGTGTGAGACGGTGGATTTAAACTGACCGCTATCCGATAGTGCTATGCCCCAAGAATCATTAGACCCTCCTATGGAGGGTTGGGACCCTGCATATATAGCAGAGGGGTTTGGACCCTCAAAAACCTTCACCTTTGATGGTCCTCGATTCTTGGGGTCTGCATTTTTTTAGCATGTCGTTCCGAAGAATCCAACACTCGTTCCGACAGTTCATCCGAGAGTGTTCTGAAAGTGTCCTGACCACATGGAACCACAAAACCACTAGGTGTTTTGTTTGTTTTGGTATTGTGGGAAAATGATATAGTTCCCCCAGTCTTATTTTTGCCAAAGTTTAAAAACACATGTTTCCAACGAGCCCCAGTCCTTTTTCGGGAGATGTCATCCTATTCGGCCAGACCCGGGATCCCTCGCCCATCCGCTGCGCATGTCAGCTTCCGCCACGTGGATGTTGCTTTTGGCATCCCCCCAGTGATGGGGATCGTGCGTTGTGCGCGAGGTTTGGTGCTGTGAAGAGGCTGATGCAATGCTGGCCACGATGAAGGCTATACGCCTTCGTCTGGGGGCGAGCCTTGGTCCCCAGACGCCCAAGAATGAATGCCATGTTTTTTACACTGATATTCAATGACATTTTCAATGGCGCAAGCATTGAAGGGACCCAAGGCCTTTGGAATCGTACGTGTCAGAGCTTTCATTTTTTGACAGTGATTTTTGGATGCCTTCAATTTTGCGTTTCAACGAGCTGTGACCCTCAAAGTCAGAGGTCCTGTTGCCCTCAAAGTCAGAGGCACCGAACCTACTTTCCTCGTCGCAGGAATTCGACATCGGCCGTCCCAAATCGGCTTGGCCCAAAGTGACGGAGCCGTTTATGGGAATCATCCAGCTGAGTGTCTCGGAGAAAAGGCTTCACACGCGGTCGGTCCTCGGACCTCAAGCCGGTTTTTCTTCGCTGTCGTAGCCTCTTCCACTGTCGCGGCATGCGGCAGAGTTTGAGAGTGAGACGTGTGAATGATCAGAAGATATCACATCAAAAGGGGGCTGGGATGGGCGGGATGGGCGGCCTTTTTGTTGACCTTTCGGAGCCTAGGCTTTCCCAGTGCACAGACCACTCCGACAGACGGATCCGACTGTCGGATGACGACAGACGGCAGACGGCTTTCGCCGAAACGACCGATGCATGACCATATTGATCGATGAGGCCTCGTCCCATGGCATTTGGGCCAGTGCGGGGCTCAGCTGCTTGAGACGGACGTGCCAGTGCCGGGACGTGCCAATGGTGGGACAGATCTTGTTGGTGAACTGATCAGGTGATTTCTGTTCCCGAACGGGTGAACTCCGGCAAATACTTGGAGGGATGATCTGACAGACCTGTAGCAATCGGTTGTGGTGGGATGCTGGGGATTCTACGTTTGATGAGCAAGGTTTCGGGCTCAGAAACGATCGTTTTGCTAGATATTGGCATCACAAAATGCTGTAAGAAAATGTCAGAAACATGTCTTTGACTTGCGACTTGTGTGGCTGATTCCGTCACGTGTAGTGTAGAGTCATCAAAATGTAATTAAGTATGTACCCCTATGGATCCACATACCTTCTCAGAAGGTAATTGGATACTATTTATGTAGGCTTTGAGGGTCCAATTACCTTCTGAGAAGGTATGTGGATCCATAGGGTATAGGGTGGGAACAAACGTCAATGTCTTTTCAACATGCCCTGTTCAACGAGACCCTGATGGGGACTGCCCGACATAGGGCCGGCATTTGGGGATATGGGCTTTTGATTAAGCTCTTGCCTTAGCTTGTTTAAAGCTTCCCAAGAAAGACTTTGCATCAAAACCTAAGCGCAGGAACATCTAGATGGCCGCAGTCCACCTGCCTGCAGCAATTTGGCGGTGTGACACAGCGCCACGGTACCCGGGGTACTTGGATCAAGCGTGCGGGTTAAACAAATCGGAGCTCAATAAGCGTCGGCACCCACCATTACAATCCATTCTTTGAATCTCCACGTAGGCAATATGGCCTACTTTCACCACCAAAAAAAACCACCAAATATATAGGCCATTGTAGGCCATCTGCGACTTGTGGAATCCTCCAGAAGCCTCCATGTCTTCAGCTCGGCGGAGGGCCGGCACTGCGTGAAGTGGAAGGTTTGACCTCCTGGCAGGCGGCGAGTCCACTCACGTCCTCATGTTTGGCTGCTCAGTGACGGCGGCGCAAGGTGGGGGTCGTGGCCGTTGCGAGGAAGAACTGCCAGGGGTAGTTACCGGAGTAGTTCACTTTCTAGGGCTCCTGGCCTACCTCCTGAGAAGATGGTTTGGGGTGGCTGCCAGGGGGGTCTAAGCACCTTCTGGGGATATTGTCTGAGCCCCTGCGACTTGAGGAGCACTGCCAGTTCTTTTTTGAAGAGGAGTTCTGGAGTGCAGGCACCCACCAATCGATGCACCAAAGGTTGATAAAGCAAGAGCTTTGCAACACAAGGTGTTTTGTGTGTTTGGTGTTTTCTGATGTTGTGTTCAGACAACACGTGAGCTTAAAAAACACCACGCAGATGTAGTCAAATCCATCCCACGATGCAGCTGCGCATGGAGCCCATAGGATGCCAGGACGGTGATCGCCTGACTGTGATCGCCAGGCTCTGGCATCGCGCTGATGGGTGCCAGCGCTTGCATCGCCGCCTGGTTGATATGGCTTTCTGAGCGTTGGAAATCCATGTCGGGTTGCAGACTGTTCGGGTTTACAAATGGTTTGTTCTTCATAGTCCTTCCGTTTTTCATGCTCTCTTGTGAGGTGGGTTTCACACTGATCTCGGAATGCCGCGCGGGCCTAGTTGTCAACACTCCCAGTGTATTGCAGTGTGTCCATCGAATCCCGTTTTTGATTTCAAGATGTAGGGTGAACGGGGAGGATCAGCCCATGTGCCCTCGAGGCTGCCAATTGGAAGGTGCTGGCCCATGCCAACTGGATCAGCCTGTGTGGTCGCTCCCCATGGTGAATGGAATGGAATTGGTTTAAGGGGAAGTCTACAAGATAAGATACCCTTGTTTTCACCTAATTAAACTATGGCCTTCCTGTAGGTCCTTTAAACCAATTCTGGGGTGCGCCATAGACCCTCTGAGACCATCTGAGACCACCATTAATGGTCTCCCAAGCTGCGAAGAACACATATCCACATGGGCCCCCACACTCCGCAGGGCTTCTTCTGTCATCGGGTTGGGGTTCACACGGGTGGGTTCACAGTGTTAAGTCTCCCGGTCTCCCGGTCTCCACCAAAGCGGAGGACGGACTCCCGGTCTTTTGACCGGCCGGAGCGAGGTGAAATGCTTGGTGCAGAGGAACCTGCAGGGAGGCGTGTTCGTGGCCGGGCCTGGCATGAGTTGGATGTGGCCTGGGGCTGACCATGGCGAACACCGAAAAAACGAACAAGTTGAAAACTGATTTTTACGGTTCAAACCAGGTTGCTCTTGGAATCTGTAAGTTCAGACGTGATGATGTGAATGTAAGCTAACACTTTGTTTAGGGCGGAGACCTAGGAGGGAGGGGTGTTCCACATGGGTTTGCCTGCCTCGCCAGGCAGAGAAGGGCCGTTTGGTGGCAGAGTCTTGCGACATCAATGGCCCGGGGGCCATGCAGCTATAATCATTATGCCATATGACCGTTTGGGTGCAACATGAACCCCAATGTGCCACTAACCTGATGTATGTTTGATTCTCCACAAAGGGTGCCACTAGTGGTGCCTAGCCGTCCAAGATGTTGTGGAGGATAGTTAGTTGTTGGGTGTGAATTGTTGTGGTTTCAAAAAGCAGGAGGTGCAGTGATCTTCGGATGCTTACTGCAACTCCTAAAGACCATCGCATATGCACTGGAAGATTAACATGAAACCGAAGAACCACTGGGTGGTAGAGCAAAATAGTCTTCCAAAGGTCAATTTTCAGGTTCCATGTTAATCTTCCCGGGTGTACACAATGTTGTTGTTTTTTCTTTGTGTGTGAATCCCGGCACCTTCCTCGAGGCAATTTCAAAACACAACCGTTTTTGTATGTTTTGTTCGACCTGCTTGGAGTGGCAAAAAAGCCCCCCAAAATACAACACCACTCCAGCCGGCCTTGAAGGCCTTGAAGTCCAGTTCTTGCAAGGATGGCGCAATTCTTACCCAGACACTCCATGTATCACATGAAAACATATATGCCTACATTGACCCCTGAAATCACCCCAAATATGCCATACATGGAGCGTTTGGGTCCTGGGTAAAGTTGCCAGGATGGCACACGGAGCCTTTTTGGAGATACCAAGGGCTTGACCAGTTCTTCCAGCCACACTGGGATCTTGCGCCTCCGTCGGGCCTCCGTGACCTCTGTCAGCCCACTTGGGTGGTGAAGGCTTGGAAGTAGGATGAAGTAGGGGTGGCTTCTTCAGCCTGCTCGCCTAGTTTGACCTTTTTCGTGTTCCCCCCACTTCGCGACGGCCGAATTTTTGGTGGGTCTTTTAATCAAGGTACTATAAGGGACTCGTTTACCGACCCAGTCAGTGGATAACCTGCAAAAAGATGCAACACCTTTTTTGGGGGATTGGGGGCCCCACTAATCAATTAAATATGTACAGATTGAAGCATGTGCTCCAGAGTGTTCCGAGTCAGCAGCTTCAATGTTAGGCTGCGGATGGTAGAACAGATGGAAACATGTTAACCTTTTTCAAGGGATTTCCGGCGAAACGGGAGTTTCTACCCGTCAACAGCCATCCACATCCGCGGGGACGCTCGTGAGGCAACGGGCACTTTGGGTTGGTTGCGGGGGCCGAGCGAGGGCTCTCAGGGAGAGGTCCTTCTGCTGGGGTATGGGATTTGTGTCCTAGACCATCCATGTGACTGGCATATTTACATTCCTAGACACTCCATGGGACTGCCATATATGCCTACATTGACCCCCAAAAACCACCCCAACTGATCGGCATATATGACAGGACCATCCTTATAGGGATGTATGTATACGTTGAGGTTCTGAGGAATGTAAGCTATATGCAGCGCAGCCACTTTTTTGTAGGAAGATTGTAGGGCTTCAATTGGACGACTGAAGATTGGATGCCCCCAACGCCAAGGTTCCTGAGGGTTTCATACACTTGGCGCTTGGTGGAACACCAATGGGTCGACATTTTTGTGCCGGCAGGGGTCTTCCAGGACCTGCATCCTGCTGGTCAACCTACCTATCCAGACCAGGTACACTCGGACGAACGCATGGAAGCGGACGGCATGGCCACTTGGAAGACGATTGTCCTCTACAAACAGGCGGTGTTCCCCTTCCGTGTTAGTGAGTCCGAGGGTCATCGCAGAAATGACCTCCTGACCCACAACAAGCTGTGAGGTGGAGGGTCCAGGGTGCCGTCGACCACTTTGGCTTCCAGATGAAGGTAGATGGAAGACACCAGCTGCAACAGTCACAGCATCGAAGAAAATGGCCAATCCAAGCTGTTCCAATGGCGCAGGGTCGGAGATGTTGGAAGACACGTTCTAAGTGGTCGTCCACAGTAGCAACCATGGCATGAACATGCATGAACAAAAACATGGGAAGCAAGCCGAATGAAAAGTGTGCTTCTGAAAATCATGGACAAAGCAAGCCGAGAAAAAACATAAGAACCTATATCATCCGTGCTGAGCTTCAGGCAGCTATAGGGCCCGCGACTTTCACCATGCTGAAGGGCTTTCACATGATTTGCACTTCGCCACGCCGCACTCACCGGAGTCGAGTCCCCCCGAGTCAACGAAGTGACGGTTGGAGCGGGTCGCCACGAAGGTCGAGTCTCCCCGCACATCAACTGACCACGAAGGTCGAAGGGTGGCAAGATGAGGACTTCCAGCAAGTAAGATGTCGGGAGGAGGTTTTACATGGTTTTACAGGGGTGGCGTCCAGCTAGCTCGATACCCCCTCTACCTGCACCATCTATATACCTCTACCATCCTCTACCCCTCGCCACCGAACATTTGTTCTCATCGCCATGGCCAGTGGCTCGGCGTCCAACACAGAAGGCTCGGAGGTGGTGGATCTTCATGCTGACTCCGACGAGCTTCGGCGCGACTCCTTTCGTTTTTGGCTCTTCGGGCCAGGGACGTGTTAAGTGGCTCAGTACCTGGTCGACCACTGGTTGTCTAGTGGGGTGAAGGACGGAAGGACCTGGTAGGTGAGTGGGGGGTGAGGGTCTAAGAGAAGGGACATGAAGGGAAGATAGCATTGATCATTCAATGTCTTGATAGAGAAACCCTTTGGGCCGCCTTCGGGCCTTCAACCCATTTGGGAGGCAGGGGGCCCTGGGCATGGAGACGGGCACCCAAAGGGCCGGAACATTGGGTCAAGTGTTATTGAAAGGCGATTTGAAGGAAACAGTTGGGCCAAACGACACGGGGGGTGGCTTCCTTAATATCCAGGGTTGACATCATTATCATCATTTCTCAAAAGAGAGGCTGGTGTTTTGAGCTGGTGACTGTTGATAGATTTTGGGACATCCGGGCCTGGCATATTTACATACATTGGGGTGGTTTCAGGGGTCAATGTAGCCATGTATCACATACATGGAGCATTGTTACTTCTTGCCTTTCTTGCCACGTGTCGAGACGCAAGTTGCTATTACTCAAGTGAAGGACTGTAGCTACGATTGGACCCTCCAAACCTACACAACAGTGTCTCCAATCACCTTCGTTTCGAAGGTACGACCACTAGTACTGGATCCCTAATGAGGCTTTTGAGTCGGCAGCTTCGAAAGCTGAAGCCAGGGATTGTTCAATCCAAAACTTGCAAGTTGTTGTTGTGTGAAAGGTGCTCTTTTGGGATTGGAGCGGATTCACCATCTCCACCAGCCTGGCGACGAAAATGTAACGAAGTGCCTTTTTCCATGCCTGTTCATCACTGGTAAAAGGATCTGGTCGAAGTGGCAAACGAAAGTCGGTCGAGGAAATGGGACCAAACCTTCATGCTGCGTGGGCAGAATATGGCAAAACATATGATATTATATGAATTGGTTTACAAGGAAACCTTTGCTGGGAAAACTTGTTTTCAACCCCGAGACATCCCCCAAACTAATCCCTTAAAAACCTGAATTCCTTGGTGTTTTTCGTGTTTCATGTTCCTCCATGTTCCACGACACGTCCCCGTCCCCACCGTCCGAACCAGCACCACCCGCATGGCCGAGGACCTGGTCACGGAGGTGGTGGACGTCACGGGGGGTTCGGACGATGAAGACCTCGTGGAGGTGAATAAGGCCGGAGGATGGCGAGATCGGTGGTGACTCAAGGTTACCACTCACTGGATGGGACCCAAAAACACCATCCCTTTGTATAAATTGTTGGTGTGTATTTATATATGTATTCACGGCCCCGTGTGTTAAGATGTCGTTGCACCTTTTCCTTGGATCCGCAGTGTTTCCAGCTCATTCCATGCTTTGCCGCCTGTGTCAGTTCTTTGACGGAGACGATCAAGGACTGTGTGCAGGCTGCCGCGCACTCCGACGGATTCGGGAGGTCCAGTGTGGTGGTGGGCTCCTGTTGCATAGCCAGCAGGCTAGGGCAGTCTCGGCCCTTCGGGATTGCGCAGGCGCGCTCCTGGATCTGGCTGAAGAGGCGATCCGCATCCGCAAGAAGGAGAAAGAGGAAGCGGCAGCTGAAGGAGAGCGAGAAGCAGAACAGGCGGCAGGTGGCAGCGGGAGTGGGAGTACTCCTGTTAC